TGCCACCACCATACTTCACCGTAGGGATGGTGCCAGGTTTCCTCCAGACGTGATGCTTGGCATTCAGGCCAAATAGTTAAATCTTGGTTTCATCAGACCAGAGAATCTTGTTTCTCATGGTCTGAGAGTCTTTAGGTTCCTTTTGTCAAACTCCAAGCGGGTGGTCATGTGCCTTTTACTGAGGAGTGGCTTCCGTCTGGCCACTCTACCATAAAGGCCTGATTTGGTGGAGTGCTGCATAGATGGTTGTCCTTCTGGAAGGTTCTCCCATCTCCACAGAGGAACTATAGAGCTCTGTCAGTGACCATGAAGTTCTTGGTCACCTCCCTGACCAAGGCCCTTCTCCCCTGATTGCTCAGTTTGGCCGGGCGGCCAGCTCTAGGAAGAGTCTTGGTGGTTCCAAACATCTTTCATTTAAGAATGATGGAGGCCACTGTGTTCTTGGGGACCTTCAATGCTGCAGAAATATTTAGGGACCCTTCCCCAGATCTGTGCCTCGACACAATCCTGTCTCGGAGCTCTACGGACAATTCCTTCGACCTCATGGCTTGGGTTTTACTCTGACATGCACTGTCAACTGTGGGACCTTATATAGACAGGTGTGTGCCTTTCCAAATCATGTCCAATCAATTGAATTTACCACTGGTGGACTCCAATCACGTTTTAGAAACATCTCAAGGATGATAAATGGAAACAGGACGCACCTGAGCTCAATTTCGAGTTTCATAGCAAAGGATTTTGCTAAAATGTCTAAAAACCTGTTTTCGCTTTGTCATTATGGGGTATTGTGTGTAGATTGCTGAGGATTTTTATTTATTTAATCAATTTTAGAATAAGGCTGTAACGTAACAATGTGGAAAAAGTCAAGGGGTCTGAATACTCTCCGAAGGCACTGTAGGTTAGCATAATTAGGAGCCATAGTGCTCCCCATTGCTGTCCCTCTGGTCTGGAAGAAAAAGTATCCTCTGAAGAGAAAATAGTTGGAGGTTAGTACCAGTTCAGCCAAGTCCACAAATACAATTGGTGCTGGGAAGGGCATTAGGGGGACGTTCATTGAGGTAGAACTTGAGGGCCTTTAGGCCGCCCTGATGGGGGATGATAGTATATAGACTGGTAACATCAAAAGTACACAGAATTTAATTTTCAGGTATATTGTCCGACGATTTCAAAAGAATAATAAAATCAATAGAGTCTCTGGTATATGTGGGAAGGGAGATCGCCCAGGGTTTCACAAAATAGTCTACAAAGGTAGAGATATTCTCTGTCAGAGATCCGTTACTACTCACAATGGGCCTGCCTGGTATAGCTGGCATCATGCTCTTGTGAATTTTGGGGAGAGCATATATGACAGGTGTGATTGGGCAGTCAACTTTCATATACTCATATTCTGTCTTTGTAATTTCCCCTTCATTCAAAACATTTAGACAATTTATCATGGATCAGAGACTTGAATTGATCAGTAGGGTCCTTAGGGAGTCTTTTGTCAAATTCAGCATCACTAAGTTGTCTCAGAATTTCCTTTTCATAGTCTGCAGCATTTTGTATCACTATTGCACCTCCTTTGACGGCAGGTTTTATAATGATACTGGAGTCATTGTTGAGTTCAATAAGAGATTCTTTCTCTGCTTTGGACATATTGTGGAATACCTTGTATTCTTTTTTTCTTAGCCAGGAGATTATGTACATCTTTCTCAACTAGGCGGCAATATGTTTCAAGAGAGGGATTTATTTTGGATGGTAAATTTGTGCTCTTCCTCTTAAAATATATATTTTCCCTAGTCATGTCCTCAGGGCGAGAGTCAAGTTCATCGTCATTCAGGTTATCAATGGGAAAAACATTAGCACCGTTACCTGTCTGGTTACTAATATCGTTCAATGGATTAACATTGGCAGGTGTATAGGGAGAAAACCCATTACCAAAAAACTCAGTCACTCAAACTGCGGAACAACTTTTGAAAGTATAACTGTATCAAAGTCATTGGCCTGTGATGTTGGGACAAATGATAGTTCCTTACCTAGGGCAGATTAACATGTACAGTGGGGGAAAAAAGTATTTAGTCAGCCACCAATTGTGCAAGTTCTCCCACTTAAAAAGATGAGAGAGGCCTGTAATTTTCATCATAGGTACACGTCAACTATGACAGACAAATTGAGGAAAAAAAATCCAGAAAATCACATTGTAGGATTTTTAATGAATTTATTTGCAAATTATGGTGGAAAGTAAGTTTTTGGTCACCTACAAACAAGCAAGATTTCTGGCTCTCACAGACCTGTAACTTCTTCTTTAAGAGGCTCCTCTGTCCTCCACTCGTTACCTGTATTAATGGCACCTGTTTGAACTTGTAATCAATATAAAAGACACCTGTCCACAACCTCAAACAGTCACACTCCAAACTCCACTATGGCCAAGACCAAAGAGCTGTCAAAGGACACCAGAAACAAAATTGTAGACCTGCACCAGGCTGGGAAGACTGAATCTGCAATAGGTAAGCAGCTTGGTTTGAAGAAATCAACTGTGGGAGCAATTATTAGGAAATGGAAGACATACAAGACCACTGATAATCTCCCTCGTTCTGGGGCTCCACGCAAGATCTCACCCCGTGGGGTCAAAATGATCACAAGAACGGTGAGCAAAAATCCCAGAACCACACGGGGGGACCTAGTGTATGACCTGCAGAGAGCTGGGACCAAAGTAACAAAGCCTACCATCAGTAACACACTACGCCGCCAGGGACTCAAATCCTGCAGTGCCAGACGTGTCCCCCTGCTTAAGCCAGTAAATGTCCAGGCCCGTCTGAAGTTTTGCTAGAGTGCATTTGGATGATCCAGAAGAGGATTGGGAGAATGTCATATGGTCAGATGAAACAAAAATAGAAATTTTTGGTAAAAACTCAACTCGTCGTGTTTGGAGGACAAAGAATGCTGAGTTGCATCCAAAGAACACCATACCTACTGTGAAGCATGGGGGTGGAAACATCATGCTTTGGGGCTGTTTTTCTGCAAAGGGACCAGGACGACTGATCCGTGTAAAGGAAAGAATGAATGGGGCCATGTATCGTGAGATTTTGAGTGAAAACCTCCTTCCATCAGCAAGGGCATTGAAGATGAAACGTGGCTGGGTCTTTCAGCATGACAATGATCCCAAGCACACCGCCCGGGTAACGAAGGAGTGGCTTCATAAGAAGCATTTCAAGGTCCTGGAGTGGCCTAGCCAGTCTCCAGATCTCAACCCCATAGAACATCTTTGGAGGGAGTTGAAAGTCCGTGTTGCCCAGCGACAGCCCCAAAACATCACTGCTCTAGAGGAGATCTGCATGGAGGAATGGGCCAAAATACCAGCAACAGTGTGTGAAAACCTTGTGAAGACTTACAGAAAACGTTTGACCTGTGTCATTGCCAACAACGGGTATATAACAAAGTATTGAGAAACTTTTGTTATTGACCAAATACTTATTTTCCACCATAATTTGCAAATAAATTCATAAAAAAATCCTACAATGTGATTTTCTGGAAAGTCTTTTTCTCATTTTGTCTGTCATAGTTGACGTGTACCTATGATGAAAATTACAGGCCTCTCTCATCTTTTTAAGTGGGAGAACTTGCACAATTGGTGGCTGACTAAATACTTTTTTTCCCCCACTGTATCAGATATAGACTTGTTGGACAAGTTAATTACTGTCTTTTATTTTTGTATTTTTTTTGATGGGTCAGTGTTTTTATTGGGAAAAAATCTGCTACAAATACAATATCTTATTAAACTTCAAACAGTGTTATAACTTGAATATCCACGTTGTTAGCATCATAATCAACCATTGTTATTACATGTATTATTACTATTTTTCAAGAATGCATAAATCATATTTAACACACACACAGGCCCTGACAGTAGGGCCAAAGCCCAAGGGTGGGTCTCTAGGGCACAGTGGCCCTGAAAGAAACTTCCTGGTTCAAGTGAGTGTAGCTCAGTCCCCCTGGGGAGGACAACATCAGCCCGAGTCTAGCAGAGTTCTCACTGTAGACTGAGTGACATATGACATTACATGACAAATCACAATCCATAATATCCATAATATCTTCCTCCATTGGTCACTATATAAGAACAATCTAACTATTTCCCTATAAGACATCCTTCATCAGGATGAACCAAAACATTATCTTAAATCTCCATATATCAATGCTAGCTCAACGGGTACACTACTACTCCAACATGGCTTGTAATTGGACATTATCATTTTATCCCTTTGAAGCAAAGTGCCTTTAAAGAAATGGATCTCATATTATTGAATATGCAGCTGTTCTGCACAGTTCTGTTTAAATCCAACTTGAATAATTAGTGCGCTATCAGAAAGTGGATGTCTTTAACAAACCATTGGAACATAATGATTGCAACATACCTGGAAATGTGTATGGTATATTCAAACAGATTTTCACAGCTCTGACCAATGGGTTTTTGGGAGACCCCACTGAGATAGGAGCAGTGTGGATCGTGGAAGGTACAGTGGCTTGCAAAAGTATTCACCCCCCTTGACATTTTTCCTATTTTGCTGCCTTTTTTTTAAGCAATGGCTTTTTTCTGGCCACTCCTCCAATTACCGTGTCTTGCTCCGTGTATGTGTCAGGGACTTCAGGTGTTGCCGTCTTCCTACATTGTCCTCTCCTGCATTTCTTGCGGGGAAGCAGGGTGGGCGGTGGTCGTGATGACGGCCTATTCGATGACGTCGTCCATCGGGATTCCCCAAAAAAGAAGACGCTCAGGCTCTGGATTGGTCGCTGGAATCAGATGTGAGGGAGTAGGTTGATCGCCACATCAGTGGCCCTCTAGGATTAGATAGTACCTTCTCCTTTCCGGACTATTTTGCTCCGTTTCATGCCTATTGAACACGACCCAGGCCAAGGTCATCATGAGAGGCCTTGGAAGCAGCAGTATCTGGGGGGGTGGGGTAGAAAGTGGGTCAGGAGTTCAAAGGTTAAATGTCTTCTGTCTTCTTCCTCCCCCGTAGGCTCTACACAAGCTGGCCAATCAGTACCTGAAGAGGGAATGGCCAGCCAGCCTACCAGAGGAGCCCACAGACCACAGGTAAGACCTCTCGGCAAAGAGTGGCATCATCAGAAATCTCATCGTCACTGTGGAATCATCAGAAATCTTATTGTCAATTATTGTCACTCTCTCCCCCTCAAGTGAAATGGACAAAAATGTGTTATTTCTCCATAATTATGCTTACCAGTATGTATACAGTTATGCACAAGTGTAACATGTAAACAACAAGGTAGAACATGTCAAATGTATTTGTCTCCATAACAGTTTAACGTTTGTCCCTGTGTGTGTGTGTGCGCGCGTGCGCGCCTGTGTGCACGTGTGCGTGTCGTCACAGGAACATGTACACGGTTTGGAAGGCCTACCTGGAGGGCACGGTGCAGCTGACCCAGTCCAGGATCACGGCCTGTGAGAACTACAGGAACCAGGTGTCGGACCCGGCCAAGACTGCCAGGCTGCAGAAGGAGCAGCAGCTCAGGAAGGTATGGAGGCCAAACCACCACAACACGGCTTAGTTTTGCATAGTTTGCAGACTCTCTCCTCTCCCATGTCTTACATTGGATGCATGTCTCCATTTATACAGTTGGTGAGTTGAAACCACTGAAACAATTCAGGATATGTGTTTTTTTCTGCCTTCTAAGGGGAGCTACGCTGTTCTTTGGATACCAACCAGTGTATTTACAGTGCCTTCAGAAAGTATTCACACCCCTGGACTTTTTCCACATTTTGTTGTGTTACAGCCTGAATTAAACATTTTATTAAATGTAGATTTTTTTGGTCACTGGCCTACACACAATACCCCATAATGTCAATGTGGAATTATGTTTTTCGAAATGTTTACAAATTAATTAAAAATGAAAAGCTGAAATGTGTTGAGTCAATAAGTATTCAACCCCTTTGTTATGGCATGCTTAAATAAATTCAGGAGTAAAAATGTGCTTAACAAGTCACATAATAAGTTGCATGGACTCACTCTGTGTGCAATAATAGTGTTTAACATTATTTTTGAATGACTACCTCATCTCTGTACCACACACATCTGTAAGGTCCCTCAGTCGAGCAGCGAATTTCAAACACAGATTCAACCACAAAGACCAGGGAGGTATTCAAATGCCTCGCAAAGAAGGGCACCTATTGGTAGATGCGTTAAAATATATATATATATATATATATATATACAGTGGGGGAAAAAGTATTTAGTCAGCCACCAATTGTGCAAGTTCTCCCACTTAAAAAGATGAGAGAGGCCTGTAATTTTCATCATAGGTACACGTCAACTATGACAGACAAATTGAGAGAAAGAATTCCAGAAAATCACATTGTAGGATTTTTTTATGAATTTATTTGCAAATTATGGTGGAAAATAAGTATTTGGTCACCTACAAACAAGCAAGATTTCTGGCTCTCACAGACCTGTAACTTCTTCTTTAAGAGGCTCCTCTGTCCTCCACTCGTTACCTGTATTAATGGCACCTGTTTGAACTTGTTATCAGTATAAAAGACACCTGTCCACAACCTCAAACAGTCACACTCCAAACTCCATTATGGCCAAGACCAAAGAGCTATCAAAGGACACCAGAAACAAAATTGTAGACCTGCACCAGGCTGGGAAGACTGAATCTGCAATAGGTAAGCAGCTTGGTTTGAAGAAATCAACTGTGGGAGCAATTATTAGGAAATGGAAGACATACAAGACCACTGATAATCTCCCTCGTTCTGGGGCTCCACGCAAGATCTCACCCCGTGGGGTCAAAATGATCACAAGAACGGTGAGCAAAAATCCCAGAACCACACGGGGGGACCTAGTGAATGACCTGCAGAGAGCTGGGACCAAAGTAACAAAGCCTACCATCAGTAACACACTACGCCGCCAGGGACTCAAATCCTGCAGTGCAAGACGTGTCCCCCTGCTTAAGCCAGTACATGTCCAGGCCCGTCTGAAGTTTGCTAGAGTGCATTTGGATGATCCAGAAGAGGATTGGGAGAATGTCATATGGTCAGATGAAACCAAAATAGAACTTTTTGGTAAAAACTCAACTCGTCGTGTTTGGAGGACAAAGAATGCTGAGTTGCATCCAAAGAACACCATACCTACTGTGAAGCATGGGGGTGGAAACATCATGCTTTGGGGCTGTTTTTCTGCAAAGGGACCAGGACGACTGATCCGTGTAAAGGAAAGAATGAATGGGGCCATGTATCGTGAGATGTTGAGTGAAAACCTCCTTCCATCAGCAAGGGCATTGAAGATGAAACGTGGCTGGGTCTTTCAGCATGACAATGATCATAAACACACCGCCCGGGCAACGAAGGAGTGGCTTCGTAAGAAGCATTTCAAGGTCCTGGAGTGGCCTAGCCAGTCTCCAGATCTCAAACCCATAGAAAATCTTTGGAGGGAGTTGAAAGTCCGTGTTGCCCAGCGACAGCCCCAAAACATCACTGCTCTAGAGGAGATCTGCATGGAGGAATGGGCCAAAATACCAGCAACAGTGTGTGAAAACCTTGTGAAGACTTACAGAAAACGTTTGACCTGTGTCATTGCCAACAAAGGGTATTTAACAACGTATTGAGAAACTTTTGATATTGACCAAATACTTATTTTCCACCATAATTTGCAAATAAATTCATTAAAAATCCTACAATGTGATTTTCTGGATTTTTTTTTTCTTCTCATTCTGTCTGTCATAGTTGACGTGTACCTATGATGAAAATTACAGGCCTCTCTCATCTTTTTAAGTGGGAGAAGTTGCACAATTGGTGGCTGACTAAATACTTTTTTTCCGCACTGTATATCCCTTTGAGCATGGGGAAGTTATTAATTACACTTTGGATGGTGTATCAATACACCCAGTCACTACAAAGGTACAGGCGTCCCTCCTAACACAGTTGCCGGAGAGGAAGGAAACCACTCAAGGATTTCACGAGGCCAACTTTAAAACAGTTACAGAGTTTAATGGCTGTGATGGGAGAAAACTGAGGATGGATCAACATTGTAGTTACTCCACAATACTAACCAAATTGACAGAGTGAAAAGAAGTCTGTACAGAATATAAATATTCCAAAACATGCATCCTGTTTTCAACAAAGCACTAAAGTAATACTGCAAAAAATGTGGCAAAGCAATTAACACTTTGTATTTAGGACTTAAAGTTATGTTTGGGGCAAATCCAATACAACACATTACTGAGTACCACTCTCCATATTTTCAAGCGTAGTGGTGGCTGCATCATGCTATGGGTATGCTTGTAATCATTAAGGACTGGGGAGTTTTTCAGGATAAAAAAGAAATGGAATGGAGCTCAGCACAGGCAAAATCCTAGAGAGAACCTGGTTCAGACTGCTTTCCACCAGACACTGGGAGATGAATTCACTTTTCAGCAGGACAAAAACCTAAAACACAAGGCCAAATCTACAGTACAGTTGCTTACCAAGAAGTCAGTGAATGTTCCTGAGTGGCCGAGTTACAGTGCATTCGGAAAGTATTCAGACCCCTTTACTTTTTCCACATTTTGTTACGTTACAGCCTTATTCTAAAATGAATTTAAAACTTCCCTTATCAATCTACACACAATACCCCATAATGACAAAGCAAAACAGGTTTTTAGACATTTTAGAAAATGTATTTAAAATAAAAGAAATTATATCACATTTACATAAGTATTCAGACCCTTTACTCAGTACTTTGTTGAAGCACCTTTGGCAGCGATTACAGCCTCGAGTCTTCTTGGGTATGATGCTACAAGCTTGGCACACCTGTATTTGGGGAGTTTCTCTCATTATTTTCTGCAGATCCTCTCAAGCTCTGTCAGGTTGGATGGGGAGCGTCACTGTACAGCTATGGTCTATCTAGAGATGTTCGATCTGGTTCAAGTCTGGGCTCTTGCTGGGCCATTCAAGGACATTCAGAGACTTGTCCCGAAGCCACTCCTGCGTTGTCTTGGCTGTGTGCTTAGGGTTGTTGTCCTGTTGGAAGGTGAACCTTCGCCCCAGTCTGAGGTCCTGAGTGCTCTGGAGCAGGTTTTCATATAGGATCTCTCTATTTTTCTCCGTTCATCTTTCCCTCGATCCTGACTAGTCTCCCAGTCCCTGCCGCTGAAAAACAACCCCACAGCATGATGGTGCCACCACCATGCTTCACTGTAGGAATGATACCAGGTTTCCTCCAGAAGTGACGCTTGGCATTCAGGCCAAAGAGTTCAATCTTGGTTTCATCAGACCAGAGAATCTTGTTTCTCATGGTCTGAGAGTCATTTAGGTGCCTTTTGGCAAACTCAAACCGGGCTGTCGTGTGCCTTTTACTGAGGAGTGGCTTCCGTCTGGCCACTCAACCATAAATACTTGATTGGTGGAGTGCTGCAGAGATGGTTGTCCTTCTGGAAGGTTCCCCCATCTCCACAGAGGAACTCTGGAGCTCTGTCAGTGTGACCATCGGGTTCTTGGTCACCTCCCTAACCAAGGCCCTTCTCCCCCAATTGCTCAGTTTGGCTTGGCGGCCAGCTCTAGGTAGAGTATTGTTGGTTCCAAACTTCCATTTAAGAATGATGGAGGCCTCTTTTCTTGTGGACCTTCAATGCTGCAGAAATGTGTTTGTACCCTTCCCCAGATCTGTGCCTCGACACAATCCTGTCTCAGAGCTCAACGGACAATTCCTTCGACCTCATGGCTTGGTTTTTGCTCTGACATGCACTGTCAACTGTGGGACCTTATATAGACAGGTGTGTGCCTTTCCAAATCATGTCCAATCCAATTGAATTTATCACAGGAGAACTCCAATCAAGTTGTAGAAACATCTCAAGGATGATCAATGGAAACAGGATGCACCTGAGCTTAATTTCATCTCATAGAAAAGGGTCTGAATACCTATGTAAATAAGGTATTTCTGTTTTAATTTTTAATAAATGTGCAAAGTTTCTAAAAACCTATTTTCTCTTTGTCATTATGGGGTATTGATGAGGAAGAATAATAATTTTATCAATTTTAGAGTACGGTTGTAATGTAACAATGTGGAGAAGGGGTCTTTCCGAATGCACTGTACACTTTTGACTTAAATCTACTTGAAGATCTATGGCAATACATGCAAATGGTGGTCTAGCAATGATCAACAACCAATTTGACAGAGCTTGACGAATTTTGAAAATAGTAATGGGCAATTGTTGCACAACCCAGGTGTGGAAAGAGTCGAGCATGGCGTTTGCAACATCAGGGTTGTGGGTTCGATTCCCACGGGGGGCCAGTATGAAAATGTATGCACTAACTGTAAGTCGCTCTGGATAAGAGCGTCTGCTGAATGACTAAAATGTAAATGGAAAGCTCTTATAGACTTACCCAGAAAGACTCACAGGTGTAATCTCTACTAAAGGTGCTTCTACAAAGTATTGACTCGGGTGTGAATACTTATGTAAATGAGATACTGTATTTCATTTTCAATACATTTGCAAACATTTCTAAAAACATGTTTTCACTTCGACATTATAGGGTAGTGTGTGTGTGTGTGTGGATGGATGGGAGAGAAAAAATAATATTTTAACCCATTTTGAATTCAGGCTGTAACACAACAAATCTGGAATAAGTCAAGGGGTATGAATAGTTTCTGTACACAGCCTATCGAAAGATTTTGCAATGGATTATTGTGTTCTCATTGGACAGGTTCAGGTAGTATCCTCCCCCTTTACTCCATTCAGAGACGTTTTCGCCCGACTGAATATGCCCGTGCTTCCCTAATTTTTATTTTATTTTATAACTTTTTTTTTTCTCCTTTATTTAACTAGGCAAGTCAGTTAAGAACAAATTCTTATTTGCAATGACGGCCTACACCGGCCAAACTCGGACGACGCTGGGCCAATTGTGCGCCGCCCTACGGGACTCCCAATCATGGCCGGTTGTGATACAGCCTGGAGTCGAACCAGGAGGTCTGTAGTGACGCCTCAAGCACTGAGATGCAGTGCCTTAGACCACTGCGCCACTCGGGAGCTACTTGGCCACATTGCTTCCCTACCTATTGGTCAGGCTTTGAACAACACTTGGTCTCTAGTTACCTCGGTCCAGTCTCCACATTCCACTGGCTACCATCAACGAGCACCCTCTTGTTCACCCTGACTAACATAATAAGAATATTATGTTAGCTCTTAGTACGTCTTAGAATGGGTTACCAATAGACAGGCATGCATTTCCAGGCATGTTAACTGTATTGGCAATGCATCTGAATATAGCCGAGTATTAGGGATATGCATCTCCCTTTCAAGACGATTCGATTCATATCTAGATACATGGGCTCCGATATGATACAGGAACGATACGTTTTAGTTTGAAACGATTCAGTGCAATTCGGTTTGATTAGAGAACAAATCGATTTGATGCATTAACATTTGTTGCATAAACACATTCATTTTCCATTCTAAATTAAAATCTGCTGCTTATGGAGCTAATGAGCTGGGCCTCTGAGCTGGATCTGTCTGAGATTACTTCTGTATGTGTTAGGGAGTAATATTTTCCCGAGAATCTACCAAGTTTCAATACCAGGAATAATTCATATTTACCTTAGTCCCAGGAAATACCGTAAAAATCGGAAGTGCCCATTTTAAAGCGTTTAAAACCAAGATATGGTCACAATACCAGGGTTCTCCCAAAATAAGACAGGTGCTGCGCCACATTGTAAAGACTTTGTTGTGAATTGCGAAACAGGCCCTTCATAAATTCTGAGTTTTATGATGTTGCTCAATTAATTCAGCGCATTTCAGCAGTAGGCCTAGACTATCTTGTCACAGTGCGCGCTCAGAATATTTCCTATTTGGCTAAATCGAGTTGATGATTTTATGGATAGCAAATCAGCTCATAAATAATTGGGAGATGAAGAGAGGAAATTGTTTTAAATATCAAGGTATCTTAACGGGGACCAACTCTATAAAAAACAAAATATATCTATTGTAATACTGTTTCTTGATCACAAATTCTCTACCGAAGCTCTCATATGAGCAGCAATACGAGACCGCGCAGAGAAGTGGGGGAAATGTTATAGCTGTATTTTGACATGCATAGGCGAGACGTGCTTTGATAATGCAACCTATGGATTACAGAATAAAGTTTGGAATTATGCGAGACAGGAGTCAGGATTTTGGGTTTCAGTGGGATTGGGACAACAGGAAAATAGCCTATAGGCTCTATATGAGGCCATATAAGGCTACTACGTGAGTCAATATATTAAATAATACACTTGATTTAGGCTACATTGTTGCATGCTAAATGTTTCTGATCAGTGAAAGATGAGCAAACGAAGCCAGAGATCAATTAACCAAATATACAGACAGATTCAGTGAAACAAAATCACATTGATTATCAGACAAGTCACAGGTTTTTGGTCAGGAGTAGGACAGGCTAAAGAGCAAAATCCACTTGTATAACATGCTAGACATTTTTTCTAATCAGCTAATATATGAGCAAACTAGAATAAAAATGATCATTAGTACTCACCTTAACTTAGCTAGCATTTCCCTAGCCTAATTACTAAATATCCAAACGGAGATTCAGTGAAAACAAAAATCTGACATTGATTGATTTATCTAGACGAGTACCCCCCACTCCTGTCTCAAAGTAGCACGATGGCGCTGTTCCAAACAAAACGGTGCTGAAATAATAATCTAGGTGACCACACATGACTATTGCTTTAAAGTAGTATAACGGATTGATATGACTTTGGGAGTTTCAGTACAAGCAAGAATGTGATACATGCCTTCAATTGCATTAGCCGACTTTATTCCAATATTTTCATAATTCAGCTGATCATAACTAAGGTGAGTTTTCCTCTTTCTGCGCTTTTTCTAGGCCCAATGGCTGTTTCCTCGTCTCCTCACTCCGCTGCATTGTTCTCAACACCAGTTTAAATCAATATAGCCTACTGTTTTCAAAACATTTGTATTTTTTTCGGGTTCGGGCTCATTTAATTTCTGTGATGTCGGACCAGGGCTCGGGCTTCAGCTCACCGGGCTTGGGTTCTGACGAGAACTCTACACTGCATTCTAAAGGCTTCCATGCGACAACTTGTTTGGATAATGTGGGGGGAAAAAACTACATTTTTGCCAATCTGCTGCTGCGCATGTTGTGTATTTTGTGGAATTGCAGCAGTGCGATATTGGCGTAAAATGTTGTAATATCCAGGGTCATTTTTTAAAAATCTGGAAATGTGAAGTGTTCCTGGGATCCCGGTTACCGGTGTTAATCCCTAGTATGTGTGCGTGTGTAAATGATGCATGTCTGTGGCATATGTACTATGTCGACATGGCCATACTCGTAATCGTATCCGTAAATTGACAGTTGATAATTGGTTCGGATGGTACTTGTGATTGGAAAAAACTGAAGTGTTTTAATATGCCTAAATAGATGTCAAAATACCTCCCTGCACATTCTCACTGCAAAAAAAGGTGCAGATGAGGAGCAGCGCACGGAGGGGTGGGGGTGTGTGTCCTCAGTTCGCAGCGGGCAGCCAAGTTTCCTGTAACTCAGTCAGAATGCACATCAGCGGTTCATCTTTTTCCCTACCCTTGCCCTGCTTGTTAGATATTATGCACATTGATAGCTTGATAGCAAACGTCCTCGTAATGTGATTTATCATAGTAGCAGGCAGCAGCAATCTAACTGATCAAACCAAAAAACATGCGAGGAAAACTGATCGGGTGAAATCATGAAGCGAGTGGACGGAGAAATACAGCTTCACTCTATCCAATCAGAGCAACAGGATCAACGTACAGCCCGCCCTTCTCTTTACAGACAGACAGTTGATTTATTTAGACCACGTAGAACCTTGCACATGACTGACTGACAAGAGAAAGTTGTGTACTGGCACACAAAAAGTACTTTTTTCCCTATCACAGATAATAATAAAAAAGATACTTGAAGCATAATCGTATCCAGAAAATTGTCTATCCGTTACGATACTCGTTTTGTCCGACTACTGGAGGCACCTGATCTGAGCCATAAGGGAGACTAGGCATCTACCACCCCACTACCACTAACAGATTGGGGGGAGCAATATATATGCATTTTTTTTGTCCCCCCACTTTGCTTCTGAAATCACCATCACCCACTAATTAACTTGTCATTTTTGCAGATTAAGTATTTGAGCTACTAATGTATCAATATTTATTGTTTACAAATTAGCTATGACATAGCCAATGAATATATACAGGGAGGGGAAAAAAGTATTTGATCCCCTGCTGATTTTGTACGTTTGCCCACTGACAAAGAAATGATCAGTCTATAATTTTAACGGTAGGTTTATTTGAACAGTGAGAGACAGAATAACAACAAAATAATCCAGAAAAACGCATGTCAAAAAAATGATTATGTTATAAATTGATTTGCATTTTAATGAGGGAAATAAGTGTTTGACCCCCTCTCAATCAGAAAGATTTCTGGCTCCCAGGTGTCTTTTATACAGGTAACGAGCTGAGATAAGGAGCACACTCTTAAAGGGAGTGCTCCTAATCTCAGTTTGTTACCTGTATAAAAGACACCTGTCCACAGAAGCAATCAATCAATCAGATTCCAAACTCTCCACCATGGCCAAGACCAAAGAGCTCTCCAAGGATGTCAGGGACAAGATTATAGACCTACACAAGGCTGGAATGGGCTACAAGACCATCGCCAAGCAGCTTGGTGAGAAGGTGACAACAGTTGGTGCGATTATTCGCAAATGGAAGAAACACAAAATAACTGTAAATCTCCCTCGGCCTGGGGCTCCATGCAAGATCTCACCTCGTGGAGTTGCAATGATCATGAGAACGGTGAGGAATCAGCCCATAACTACACGGGAGGATCTTGTCAATGATCTCAAGGCAGCTGGGACCATAGTCACCAAGAAAACAATTGGTAACACACTACGCCGTGAAGAACTGAAATCCTGCAGCGCCCGCAAGGTCCCCCTGCTCAAGAAAGCACATATACATGCCCGTCTGAAGTTTGCCAATGAACATCTGAATGATTCAGAGGAGAACTGGGTGAAAGTGTTGTGGTCAGATGAGACCAAAATGGAGCTCTTTGGCATCAACTCAACTCGTCGTGTTTGGAGGAGGAGGAATGCTGCCTATGACCCCAAGAACACCATCACCACCGTCAAACATGGAGGGGGAAACATTATGCTTTGGGGGTGTTTTTCTGCTAATGGGACAGGACAACTTCACCGCATCAAAGGGACGATGGACGGGGCCATGTACCGTCAAATCTTGGGTGAGAACCTCCTTCCCTCAGCCAGGGCATTGAAAATGGGTCGTGGATGGGTATTCCAGCATGACAATGACCCAAAACACACAGCCAAGGCAACAAAGGAGTGGCTCAAGAAGAAGCACATTAAGGTCCTGGAGTGGCCTAGCCAGTCTCCAGACCTTAATCCCATAGAAAATCTGTGGAGGGAGCTGAAGGTTCGAGTTGCCAAACGTCAGCCTCAACCTTAATGACTTGGAGAAGATCTGCAAAGAGGAGTGGGACAAAATCCCTCCTGAGATGTGTGCAAACCTGGTGGCCAACTACAAGAAACGTCTGACCTCTGTGATTGCCAACAAGGGTTTTGCCACCAAGTACTAAGTCATGTTTTGCAGAGGGGTCAAATACTTATTTCCCTCATTAAAATGCAAATCAATTTATAACATTTTTGACATGTGTTTTTCTGGATTTTTTGTTTGTTATTCTGTCTCTCGCTGTTCAAATAAACCTACCATTAAAATTATAGACTGACCATTTCTTTGTCAGTGGACAAACGTACAAAATCAGCAGGGGATCAAATACTTTTTTCCCTCACTGTATCACAATTTTGGATTTCACCTCCATCTCAAAATCAAATGGTTTTGACCGTTTTGAAGTTTTTAGTGAGCTTCTTTTCTCCTCCTGCTTTGGCCATGCAGTACGCCTCGCAAAGTGATTTCTGTCCTCGTTATGAAATTATGAACTTTACCCTGTATATCCAAAAATTACTATATACACTGATTCTTTAAAGCAAAACTATTGCTGATGGTGAACCTGAACAATCAAAATAAAATTGTTTGTAAGTCTAGTTCAGCACGTAGCCTATAGCCAGATGAGTTGTCTCTGGTAGCTTACTTTTATTCTGGTAAAGCACCATTTTCAACAATTCATAGATAACAATAACCTAGCAAATTACATAGGTTGTCACTCAACTAATAAGGCCTAATAACGCTCAAGACATTTTAGCATTTGAATAATGAAGGTGCCGCATACCTTAGGTGAATCGTTACATCCCTACCAAGTATTTCTTACATATTTAATAACTCTATGTCATCACTTGTTTGTCCAGTGTATTGATTAGCTGACATGTACACTAAATTACCAAAAGTATGTGGAGACCTGCTCGTCGAACATCTCATTCCAAGATCATGGGCAATAATATGGAGTTGGTCCCCCCTTTGCTGCTATAACAGCCTCCACTCTTCTGGGAAGGCTTTCCACTAGATGTTGGAACATTGCTGCAGGGATTCGCTTCCATTCAGCCACAAGCATTTGTGAGGTCGGGCACTGATGTTTGGTGATTAGGCCTGGCTCGCAGTCAGCGTTCCAATTCATCCCAAAGGTGTTCGATGGGGTTGAGGTCAGGGCTGTGTGCAGACCAGTCAAGTTCTTCCACACCAATCTCGACAAACCATTTCTGTATGGACCTCGCTTTGTGCATTCCCCAAACTGTTTCCACGGAGTTGGAAGCACAGAATCGTCTAGAATGTAGCGTTAAGATTTCCCTTTACTGGAACTAAGGGGCCTAGCCCGACCCCAGACCTTTATTCCTCCTCCACCAAACTTTACAGTTGGCACTATGCATTCGAGCAGGTAGCGTTCTTCTGGCATCCGACAAACCCAGATTCGTCCGTCGAACTGCCAGATGGTGAAGCGGGATTCATCACTCCAGAGAACGCATTTCCACTGCTCCAGAGTCCAATGGCTGCGAGCTTTACACCACTCCAGCTGACGCTTGGCATTGCGCATGGTGATCTTAGGCTTTTGTGCGGCAGCTCAGCCATGGAAACCCATTTCATGAAGCTCCCGACAAACAGTTATTGTGCTGACGTTGCTTTCAGAGGCAGTTTGGAACTCAGTAGTGAGTGTTGCAACCGTGGACAGATGATTTTTGTACGCACTATGTGCTTCAGCCCTTGGCGGTCTCGTTCTGTGAGCTGGTGTGGCCTACCACTTTGCGGCTGAGCCGTTGTTGCTCCTATACGTTTCCACTTCACAGTAACCGCACTTACAGGGAAGAATAATAAAGGAAAATATCAATATATTTTTAAATAAAGTGGCAACCTATGTTGAAAGTCACATAGCTCTTCAGTAAGGCCATTCTACTGACAATGTTTGTCTGTGGAGATTGTATGGCTGTGTGTTCGATTTTATACACCTGTCAGCAATGGGTGTGGCTGAATTAGCAGAATTTTAAGGGGTGTCCACATACTTTAGTACATATAGTGTATTTCACCACCATATATTGATAACTGTTTAGTGTATATACACATACTGTACCACATACTGATAACCTCTGGTTGTTGTTTGTTTAGTGTATTGACCAGCTGACGCTGGTGCAGGCGGAGCTGCAGGACTCTGTGAAGGAGCTGGCCAAGACCAGGAAGAAGTACCAGGAGACTGAGACCATGGCCCAGACCGTCAGAGACAAGGCTGAGCAGGATGCCAAGTATGTACAGTACATGCAGACACACACACACACTATGTCCAATCTATAGCCTTGTGGAGATCTGAGAGGATCAGATGGGTAAGAAATCTGGTGACAATTCCACCTAGCCTATCAGAGGGCAATGTGGAGCTATTACCGTAATGCTACATATCCAATCCTCAGATGTACAGGGGTGAAAATGTAAGACTTTTGGTTGGAACCACTGGTCTTGTGGAACTCGGTTCACATACATGATCCTTCTCTCCTTCTGTTCTGTCCAGGTCCAAACTGAGTCTGTTCCAGTCCAGGTCCAGTCTGCAGAGGGCCAGTGTAAAGGTGAGAGCATTAAATTAATACATTGGCCATGACCACAAACTCAACTGCATAGGGGATTCTTTTTTTTTTATGTTGTAGCATCAACCTATCAAACTAATATACTGACACATGTGGAGTGTGTTTTTTATTTTTTCACCAGCTGAAAGCCAAAAGGAGTGAGTGTAACTCCAAAGCCACCCACGCCAGGAATGACTATCTCCTCACGCTAGCCGCGGCTAACGCTCACCAGCAGCGTTACTACGACACGGACCTGATCGACTGCATCAAGGTGAGGCGTCAGCACACACACACACACACACACGTATGGGGGCATTCCAGGTCATCTTTTTTTGCAGTCGTGCTGCATATCTCAGACGATTGCTATGTCATAGTTAGCATGGAACACAACCACTAATGTACGAGTGAGTGAGATGCTGGCTTATTGCAGCTTTACTGATCAATTACAAGTTGTTAAGTTCCTAAGTTATTTCCCTGTTGCCCTGTGCTCCTCAGGTTCTGGATGGGGGCATCTATGAGCAGGTGAAAGACTACCTGGTCTCTCTGAGCCAGACGGAGTTGGATGCCTACCAGGCTGTCCACGACACCTTCAATGTCCTCCTGGAAAGCTCCAACGGGGTGAGGGCATGGAAACTAGCCCACATATTAGCTTTCATTGAACTAGCCTGCTACCAGATCTGTTTGTGCCGTCTTGCCGACTCCTAAGGTCCTCATGAGGAGAATGCGCAGAAATTGGTGTAACAGAGCTGGTTCAGTCACGTTTCCACAAGCTAATGCCTAGGCTTTAGCTCAGATGGCTAACAGTCTTGTGGCGTGCAGAAGACCCGGGTTTGAAACCTAGTCTGTCATATTCACATTAATGCCATGGTTTAGGGCTTTGTTTTTCCATCAAAGATTTAGAGATTACTATTTACCTATCCCAATACTCTGTCGTGTTACTAGCTATTCTGTTACCCCTCAGCTATTGGCCTCTCTTAGTCCAGAGCTCTTGGGGTCATCTAGCGTTTCTGTAACCCGACCTTGGTTTACAGTTAGCTTCCTATCAGACCAGCGTGACCGTATATCTCTGGCGAGTCAGCGAGCTGCGGGCACTCTGTTTTTTAACAGTGGTCAGATTTCGACCCGTTGACCCATATGATTCCTCTTTCACTGTTACGCCACACAGCAGGCTGTGTGTGTGTGTGTGTGTGTGAGTGTGTGTTCACGGTCACCCTTAAGGTGACTGTGAATGCTCCCCCATGACTTTGGGTCACACTGCGCTCTGCTCTGACCGTCAGTGGTCCTTCGATGGCCCTGACTTAAATAAGATCAGTGTGGTTGCCCTCCAATGACATAATAAACTCTCAAAGGATTGAGTAAAGCCTCTTCTGTCATGATAATGATATGTTATCTATTCTAATCCCTTCATGCCTCTGTCAGATTATCAGATGCCTCTATTATGAGGTTACCTAAACAAGTGTGTGCATGTCTGTGTTCTCTCCAGGTGATGCAGGACTTACACCAGCAGCAGTTTGTACAGCAGAACCCAGTGTTCCACAGTGCCCCAGCCATCCTCTTCCAGCCCAGTGACACTGACAAGGTGGGTAGTAGTGCTATGCTAACGCTACTGTTCTCATGGAACGTGGTGGCTAGTGCTACGCTACACACTAGCTATGCTAAAACTTCCTGCTCATAGAACCACTGATCATTCCTCACTGCTAGGCTAGGCTAGCTAACTCGCTTTACCGTACATGCTTCTGCGTCTGTGTAACCGAGTTGAATAGGTAAGCTCACTCCTCAGCTTGAAAAATGTATGCACGCATGACTGTAAGTCGCTTTGGATAAAAGCGTCTGCTAAATGGCATATTATTATTATTATTATTATAAATGCCTCCACCTGCGCCATCGAATTGCTAGCTTTTTGGTGGCAAAGCTGGCTAAGGCATTGCAAGACAGAGGGCGACAAGATCAATCTCAGTAGCGAACTTGTGAGAGAGGAAGCAAAGCTGTTAAACGACACAGTGACGGCTATTACATGTGGTGCATGTGTGTTGGTGAGTGTGTGGAGCTTGTTTGTGTTGCACGCAGCTTTGTCTGTATTTATGGTGTGTATGTGTGTAAGACCGATGTGTGGGTAGCGCATGTGTATGGTGCACATGTGTGTATGACGTGCGTGTATATGGTGTGCCTGTGCGCCCCAGAGATCCTGTGCCTTAGGAACCTGTTCTCTGTAGCAACCTGGTCCTCTGTAGCTCAATTGGTAGAGCATGGCGCTTGTAACGCCAGGGTAGTGGGTTCGATCCCCGGGACCACCCATATGTAAAAATATGCACACATGACTGTAAGTCGCTTTGGATAAAAGCGTCTGCTAAATGGCATATTATTTATATTATTTATTTATGTTCTCAGCTGACCCAGTCAGTCGTCTGCCCGCCAGTGCACTCGTCCGCACCCTCCTCCACCCGCTCCCCTCCTCCTCACATCCGATCCGCCCCTCCTCTACACTGGACAAATTGTTAGAAACCTCCAAGGCCTTCGTTGTTGTTTTCGTTGGAAGTCAAACAAGCGCTGGCCTGTTCCTAAAGAAAACATTTAGTGATGCAGTTGCCTCCTCCACCTCCCTCAAACCCACCCCCCCTTTCCCCTCCCTGTGCGAGACGACGGAGGGATCCGGAAAAGAACTGCACTGAAAGAGGGGCCGTAGGGGGGTGGGGGCGTTTTGCAGGAAGGCAGGACCATGGACGGCGTAGGCATCTGTGAAAAGGGGGCATTGTAAGGGGGCCTCGTCAGTGTGCTCACTCCTACCCCCTCCCCCCCTCCCCCACTGCCTGCCTCAGCCTCTAACAGGAACTAGGTGTGGCTCTACTCTCCTTCACTGATTTATGGGCCTTACGTACGGTCCACACTGAACAACACTGTTTCTCTTTCTCCCCCTCCCTCCTCTAACGTAACTCGGCGCTCCACCTGTGGTGCTCTTTTTCCCTCTTCAACCTGTAGTTGGAAAAACCTTATTTTTAGCACATTCAGTTAATCTGCCATTTGGACTGTGTTTATTCTTATGTCAAGGCTCAGAGGTTTGAAGTCAGCTCTGTGCACATGAAGCATACCAGGGATCATCAGTCATGGGGGTTGACCTATACACTTCCTGAGGAGAGGTGAGACCAAACCTCCTGGTCCTGTTGTGTGTGTCCATCATCCCAACCAGCCAGGGTTGTTCATTAGTGTGCAATGGAAAACATTTGAAATCATTTTGTATCCGGAAACGAGAATAAGTCTTTCTTATTAGACAAGTCTAGGGTTATCCATCCCTGTTTCAGTACATTTTCTTCCGTTTGGTGGATAATGAACAAATAGCATTACAGAACGTTCTGATAGAAATGTACTGTATAGAACATATATGTTTGTCTGTCATGTAGACTAAAGAACCGTGTCAGCTCTATTCGTTCCATTTCTATTTTGCGATGTTCAGAACATATCACATTACTGAGTACACCCCAGAATCCAGTCTGGTCCAGTGTGGCCTGGAATGAGACTTCAGGCCTTGGAGAGGGGTTTTGGAGAGAAATAAGCACAGGATTTTCCCATATTAATCTGGAATTCCTGTTTTTCTGATCATCCTCTAATCCTATTTTATTGGAATCGACTAACCCCCAAACCAATATTCTAAGTTTCACGATTTTCAGTGTTATCCTGATAACATCCCTGATTTCGAGACATTGCCTCTCATCCCAAAGGGGCGCATGGATTGGCTGTTTGTCTCTTGTGAGGTCATTCATAGGAAGTATTTTTTCCTCGGTTGTTTTCCTTTTGACACCAACACATGGTTTGTTTGGCCGTCTGCCTCAGTAGTGGGATTCAGTAGTTTTACTACGACACCAGTCTCCCGAGTGGCGCAGTGGTCTAAGGCACTGCATCGCAGTGCTAGCTGTGCCACTAGAGATCCTGGTTCGAATCCAGGCTCTGTCGTAGCCGGCCGCGACCGGGAGACCCATGGGGCGGTGCACAATTGGCCCAGCGTCGTCCAGGGTAGGGGAGGGAATGGCCGGCAGGGATGTAGCTCAGTTGGTAGAGCATGGCGTTTGCAACGCCAGGGTTGTGGGTTCGATTCCCACGGGGGGCCAGTATGAATAAAAATAATAATGTATGCACTCACTAACTGTAAGTCGCTCTGGATAGGAGCGTCTGCTAAATGACTAAAATGTAAAATGTAAATGTATCAGAAATCTCATTTAATAATATTTGCCAACATCCACCCTCAAACGGATATCTGCTCCAAAATCTTTCCGTAAATATGGAACAAAAATATAAACGCAACATGCAACAATTTCAAAGAGTTTACTGGGTAACAGTTCATATAAGGAAATCAGTCAATTGAAATAATGTAATTAGGCCCTAATCTATGGATTTCACATGACTGGGAATACAGATATGCATCTGTTGCTCACAGATACCTTAAAAAAGGTAGGGGCGTTGATCAGAAAACCAGTCAGTATCTGGTGTGACCACCATTTGCCTCATGCAGCACGACACATCTCCTTCGCATAGAGTTGATCAGGCTGTTGATTGTGGCCTGTGGAATGTTGTCCCACTCCTGTTCAATGGCTGTGCAAAGATGCTGGATATATGAGGTGTTGGCGGCGGATTAATGGCACGACAATGGGCCTCAGGATCAGGTCACGTTATCTCTGTGCATTCAAATTGCCATCAATAAAATGCAATTGTGTTCGTTGTCCATAACTTATGCCTGCCCATACCATAACCCCACCGCCACCATGGGGCACTCTGTTCACAACATTGACATCAGCAAACCACTTGCCAACACGACAACATACACGCTGTCTGCCATCTGCACGGTACAGTTAAAACCGGGATTCATCCGTGAAGAGCACACTTCTCCAGCATGCCAGTGGCCATCGAAGGTGAGCATTTGCCTACTGAAGTCGGTTAAGACGACGAACTGCAGTCAGGTCAAGACCCTTGTGAGGACGACGAGCACGCAGATGAACTTCCCTGAGACGGTTTCTGACAGTTTGTGCAGAACTTATTCGGTTTTGCAAACCCATAATTTCATCAACTGTACGGGTGGCTGGTCTCAGACGATCCTGCAGGTGAAGAAGCCGGATGTGGAGGTCCTGGGCTGGCGTGGTTACAAGTGCTCTGCAGTTGTGAGGCCGGTTGGACGGTCTGCCAAATTCTCTAAATGACGTTGGAGACGGCTTATAGTAGAGAAATGAACATTAATTTATCTGACAACAGCTCTGGTGGACATTCCTGCAGTCAGCATACCAATTGAACGCTCCCTCAAAAGTTGAGACATCTGTGGCATTGTGTTGTGTGACTAAACTGCAAATTTTTAAGTGCCCTTATATTGTCCCCAGCACAAGGTGCACGTGTAATGATCATGCTGTTTAATCAGCTTCTTGATGTGCCACACCTTTCAGGTGGATGGATTGTTTTGGCAAAGGAGAAATGCTCACTAACAGGGATGTAAACAAATGTGTGCACAACATATTAGAGAAATAAGCGTATAGAACATTTCTGGTGTCTTTTTATTTCAGCTCATGAAACATGGACCAACACTTTACATGTTGCGTTTTTATATTTTTGTTCTGTATATTTTTGACCTATTGCGATACACGCACAGACAGAGACACACAAACACGATGTTTAGCTGAATATTATCAGACTATTAAACGCTGTCTTTCTCTCTACCCCATCCATCATCCCTGGTCACTAGGTGGGGCAGCTGCAGAAGGAGAGTGGCACAGCGGAGGAGCACAGTCTGGATAAGGAGGCACGGAAGTGGGCGACTCGAGTGGCACGAGAACACAAGAGCATCATCCACAGCCAGCGGGTGAGAGGAAGGAAGGGAAAGGGTAGGAAAGGAAGAGGGAGGGGATAGTTCTATCTATTCTAGCGATGTAACGATTCAGAGATATGCATCTGTCCCCGATTTAAAAAAAGATATATATATATATATATATAATAAAGATACGATTGCATCGGTCCGCGACTCCCAACAGATCCAAATGTAGCATGCATCAGTCAGAAAAACCATTCAAACATTAGGAATCGATGATTCACATTGTTTTTTGCTCATATTACTTTCGAAAGTGCCTCATATTTTGTGACAAAGAATGCGTCCTCTCCTTCAGTGTTGAACTAAGCATGTAACTGTGTTGACAGTCATTGATCTCTACAAGGTATTTTGTATGCTGAACAACACCGGGGAATATCAGTAGCCTAGTCAAACTGCGCACTGTGATCAGCTTCGCACGCTGACCAATGCGAGGTAGGCAGCCTGTTCCTGGTTCCTGGATATGCTTGAGTAAAAGTAAAGATACCTTAATAGAAAATAACTCAAGTAAAAGTGAAAGTCACCCAGTAAAATACTACTTGAGTAAAAGTCTAAAAGTATTTGGTTTAAAATATACTTAAGTATCAAGTTAAAGTGTAAATCATTTCAAATTCCTTATATTAAGCAAACCAGATGGCACCATTTATTTTTATTTTTTATTTACAGACAGCCAGGGGCACACTCCAACACTCAGACATAATTTACAAACGAAGCATGTGTGTTTAGTGAGTCCGCCAGATCAGAGGAAGTGGGGATGACCAGGGATGTTCTCTTGATAAGTGCGTGAATTGGACCATTTTCCTGTCCTGCTAAGCATTAAAAATGTAACGAGTACTTTTGGGTGTCAGCGAAAATGTATGGAGTAAAAAGTACATTATTTTCTTTAGGAATGTAGTGAAGTAAAAGTAAAGGTTGTCATAAATATTAATATTAAAGCTAAGTACAGATACAAAAAAACACATTTAAGTAGTACTTTAAAGTATTTTTACTTAAGTACTTTACACCACTGTACAGGGTAAAGTTTATAATTTCATAACGAGGACATAAATCACTTTGCGAGGCGTACTGCATGGCCAAAGCAGGAGGAGAAAAGAAGCTCACTAAAAACTTCAAAACGGTCAAAACCATTCGATTTTGAGATGGAGGTTAAATCCAAAATGGTGCTATATATTCATTGGCTATGTCATAGCTAATTTGTAAACAATAAATATATATTACTAGCTCAAACACTTAATCTGCAAAAATGACAAGTTAATTAGTGGGTGATGGACATTTTCAGAACCGAAGTGGGGGGGACAAAAATATAGGTAGTGGGGTGATAGATGCCTAGTCTCACTTATGGCACAGATCAGGTGCCTACAGTAAATACACCATAGACATACATAATTTACGCACACACACACACACACACACACACTCACAGATCCAGCTCAGAGAGGCCCAGGTCATGAGCTCCATCAACAATCCCCATAGGGCGCTGGTGAAAAGTAGTGTACTATATAGGGAATAGGGTGCCATTTCAGACACAGCCATTGAGATTGGTTTGTTCTCTACATGTTATCTGTGACCTTTTAGGCCCTGGAGGACTATAGGACACAGCAGGGGCCATCGGAGCAGAACCGCAGCGAGCTGGAGCTGAAGATGGAGGAGGCCAGGGAGAACCTGCGGAGAGCAGAGGTAAACTTGTGTGTGTGTGTGGCGATGGTGAGTAGGACTCACGCTGTCATGATAAGGTAACCCTGCCTGTGACTTAAAATCTGCCAAAAAGGGAATGTTTAAGACGTTGGTGTCTCGAGCCAGAGACCGGAGTTCAGATCCCACCAGTTACATGCTTGTGTGTGTGATCCCTAACTGAGGTTGGTATATCAGTGGGCCAGTAGGTTGTCTCACTTCAGCCTCTCTTGCCTCTGATTCCCCCTGCTGGTTGATGAGGCAGACTACATCCAACATGTAGTTCTGATGGAGCTTCTTATGAGAGCATATTATAACATGATGACTGACAGTTTTTCCAGAAGTCCCAGTGGAAAGATTGCTGGAATTAGGAGGGAATAAGCAAGAAATTCGTAATATGACAAACATGACAAAACATATGATGATGTTATTAACTCCAGACGGTGAAGCTGAAGGCAGAGGCTCGCCTGGCCCTGCTGAGAGAGGCAGGCGTCACTGTGGAGACGTGGCTGAAGAGCGCCATGAACCAGGTGATGGAGGAGCTGGAGAACGAGCGGTGGGCTAACCTGAACACCCATGATCCGTCACTCTCCGTGAGTCATAAAACACATTGAAAGACGAGACAAAAATGCAAATTTTCTCACATCTTTGTGCATACACATCAACATTTTCCATTTTGTCCCCTGTACCTGCCTACTGAAATTTCTCGGGCTCAGGTAAATCACATGATAAGGAAACTGGGGTGTTTCTTTAAAGCACTGTTTCTCAACCTTAAAGGAAAGGTTCACCCGTTTTTTATGTTATATTGTTTTTGTGCATCTCTGAGTGATGTTCTATCGATTCCCTGGGTCATTTCATGTTTTCATGTGTGTCTGAGTTATTGGCGTTCAAGCAGGCAGAAATCTGGCCGGTATGACGTAGAACTGTGACGTAGTCGCTCTCACTACACTGGACGTTAATAGGAATACGACTTTTAAATCGCGAAAACGTCTATCATACATGTCAGATTTCAATACTGGCCAATGTCATAACTCCGGGAGGATGTATTCTCTCGAATGAGCCATTGATCATATATATATATATATATTATTTTTTTTTCTCGATATTACTACCTCGAGAAATGTGTAATTTAACGGAGGGTCTAGTACATTTTGCCTATTTGTCCGCTTCATTAGTCCAGGGTTCACTGCATGGTGCCGTTGCCAGAGATATTATAGAAAGGAGATAGGAATCCAATGAATGAAGGAACGTAAAACGCCCCACCCAGCCGACTGTCGACCAATCGCGTTCACGTTGTTGCGTACGCGGTTGCTAAGCTAATCATCATGCAATCCCTTCTCAAAGTCAGTGTATATGTTGAGAAACGTGGCTATTTTTCTCAAGTAAGTAATGTCACGATTCCAAAGCTATATGATATGACAGATAGCAAGTTAATTATCTCACATCTCGGAAAATATTTTCAATGTTGTACTTCTTGTTGACAAAATTCGTGCTAATGTTGGGTTTTTGAGCTAGCGCCCAATATACTCCCATTCACTCCTTGAAGGAGAGCTCTCCTTGTCCTAGAATCGGCCAGAATGCACCTCGCTGCCCATCGATGTAGCATGGGCAACGTTTCCAATCTCCTCAAAAGTATATTTGCCGTTGTGAATGTTGGACTCCGCTCTGTGAGGCACATCGATCTGCAGGTTGAACATGGTTGTAGACTCCTAAATTGATAGTGCAGTTCTAGGCGATTTTACCACTAACTAGCTACTTTACATGCTGATATTGTCTTTGGAATTATTGTGTTTAGCTACGTTTGCTAGCTACGTAGCTAGCCAGCCAATAGAGAGAACATTGCATTTTGGATTTTGTAGTCGACTTGAGCTGCAACAGATTTCCACAACGATTTTCCATGTTGCTACCAACCTTATTATAACGGCAAAATGAAACATTTGTTGACAAAAAATATTGTTCTCACATATTAGTGTTATTTTACACTGTAAATTACAGGGGGAAAAAGAGGACTGAGCACGCCCCCATTCTCATCGACGGGGCTGTAGTGGAACAGGTTGAGAGCTTCAAGTTCCTTGGTGTCCACATCACCAACGAACTATCATTACATTTTTACATTTTACATATTTAGCAGACGCTCTTATCCAGAGCGACTTACAGTTAGTGAATACATATTTTTGTATTTTTTTTGTAATACTGGCCCCCCATGGGAATCGAACCCACAACCCTGGCGTTGCAAACGCCATGCTCTATCAACTGAGCTACATCCCTGCCGGCCATTCCCTCCCCTACCCTGGACGACGCTGGGCCAATTGTGCGTCGCCCATGAGTCTCCCGGTCGCGGCCGGCTGCGACAGAGCCTGGATTCGAACCAGGATCTCTAGTGGCACAGTTAGCACTGCGATGCGGTGCCTTAGACCACTGCGCCACTCAGGAGATCCAAACACACCATGGTCCAAACACACCAAGACAGTCGTGTAGAGGGCACGACAAAGCCTATTCCCCTCAGGAGACTGAAAAGATTTGGCATGGGTCCTCAGATCCTCAAAAAGTTATACAGCTGCACCATCGAGAGCATCCTGACTGGTTGCATCATCGCCTGGTATGGCAACTGCTCGGCCTCCGACCGCAAGGCACTACAGAGGGTAGTGCGTATGGCCCAGTACATCACTGGGGCCAAGCTTCCTGCCATCCAGGACTTCTATACCAGGCGGTGTCAGAGGAAGGCCCTCAAAATTGTCAAAGCCTCCAGCCACCCTCGTCATAGACTGTTCTCTCTGCTACCGCACGGCAAGCGGTACCGGAGCGCCAAGTCTGGGTCCAAAAGGCTTCTCAACAGCTTCTACCCCCAAGCCATAAGACTCCTGAACAGCTAATCATGGCTACCCAGACTATTTGCACTGCCCCCCCTCCCCCAACCCCTATTTTACGCTGCTGCTACTTTGTTTATTATTTATGCATAGTCTTTAACTCTACCCACATGTACATATGACCTCAATTACCTCGACTAGCCGGTGCCCCCGCACATTGACTCTGCACCGGTACCCCCCTGTATATAGCCTCCCTACTGTTATTTTATTTTAATGCTGCTCTTTAGTTATTAGCTTTTATTTTTTAACTTAACACTATTATATATATTTTTTTTTCTTAATTAAAAAAAATTCATTGTTGGTTAAGGGCTTGTAAGTAAGCATTTCACTGTAATGTCTACACCTGTTGTATTCGGCACATGTGGCAAATAACATTTGATTTGATTTGGAATTAGTGGTTTTGGGTGGATTTTTCCTTTAAGGAGTGTGTTGTGTTTGAGATTGACTAGCCTTGTGAAACCAGACTGACCGCTGACTGCATGTGAGCTTGAGATCAGGCTGGTTTAACAAGGCTACTGATTTTGCAGTTAGATTGCGCAGAATCACTGATTTACAAATCACCTTGCATCCCAAATAACTTCTCACTCTGTGATCAAAAGTATCGATTCTGTGGTTTGCCTTGCTCCAAGTGATCCCATCCAACCTGCCGTGTGTGTGTCTTTAGGGTACAGCTGACCTGGAGAGAGAGGAGGAGGATGAGGAGCTGGAGGATAGTGGAGAGGTGTTGGACGACAGCAGCTCCAGCCCCTCCTGTACCCTCAGGAACTACCCCCTCAACTGCAAAGTGCTCTACTCATACAAGGTATACACACACACACGCACACAGTGTAGTCCTATTCTCACCTTTGAGCTTGCAATCAACCCAGCGCCTTGGATGCGATGCAATATGGTACCGTACCTCGTACCATATAAGTCCTTTTGAGCACTTCAGCACGCATTATAATATTCAAATTCAGACTTCACAAATACAGCTCCAACATACAATATGGACGACAATATCTTAACTGGGGCAGTCTAGCAGTAATGAAACATGACCTCCTTCCTCTCCCAGGCGTCTCAGCCAGATGAGCTGACCATCGAGGAACAGGAGGTGCTGGAGGTTATCGATGATGGGGACATGGAGGACTGGGTCAAGGTACAGAGTGCTTTCCAAAAGTGGCACTACTTCACTGTTTGCGTTTAAACTCGAATAAAGCAAGTGGTACTCTAAAGTCATCATATGCCTACACACCAGGGGTTGTGTTCAATAGGGATATATTTTTTTTTTTATGGAGTGAAATGGGGAGGTTTTAGTTTTGTTGTCCATTGCAAAACATTTTACTGTGGTGTGCCCTACTATCACTGACTGGTAACCCTGTGTGTGTGTTCCAACATTGTCTCTAGGCCAGGAACCGGATGGGCCAGGTGGGCTACGTCCCGGAGAAGTACCTGCAGCTGCCCTCGTCCAACAGCCTACTGAGCATGCTCCAGTCTCTGGCCGCACTGGACGCCCGCTCCCACTCCTCCAGCAACTCCACCGAGCCCGAGCTGCTCGAGTCAGAGCTGCCCACGCCGGGCACACCCAGCATCAACGGCGACTCCAGCAGTGGTGAGAGACACAGCGAATTTGGGTGAAACTATCAGAGTGGCATGACTCAACATTCTCACAGGGGTGAATCCTGAACTTCACTTAAATCAGATTTTCACTTAGTCATGCATTGATGTCAATGGGAGATGAGAGGAAACTGGACTTAAGTAAAAGTTAGGATTCGCACCACACAGAATAAACACGTATACATATGTAATACAGGCAATGTCATTGAGATCATTCAGATGTGTTGTGACATTTTTTTTCCTCCCTGTCTTTCCATTTCGATCTCTTACTCCGTGCTTTTACTATCTTTCCACTCCCCTTTTCACCCCATCTCTCTCCCCCCTCTCCCTCCCTCAGTGTGCTTTGCCAAGGCCCTGTACGACTACGCGGGCCAGACGGACGAGGAGCTCTCGTTCCCCGAGGGTGCCATCATCCGCGTGCTGAGCCGCGAAACCCACGAGGACGACGGCTTCTGGGAGGGCGAGTTTAACGGCGCCGTGGGCGTCTTCCCCGCCGTGCTGGTGGAGGACCTGCTGGCGGTGGGCGGCGCCAGTGCAGACGGCGAGAATGGCGACAGCCTGGGAGAGGCCAGCAGCAGCGCGCAGGTACACACACATATGCACCCACCCTAGGAGCTGTTTACACACGTGAATGAATGAATGGACACTTAAAACCGGTTTAAACCTTATCCTGTAAAACATACTTTCCATGGAGATTTTCTGTTGAGAATGATTTTTTAAATCCAGGACCAAGCTTAATCTTGGTGCGGGAAACCGGCCTTTAGATGCACACTCTACAATCACAAAATGCATGCCGAAGTTCTCGCTCACGATATACAGGTAAAAGTCAGTAAATTAGAATATTTTGAAAAACTTGATTTATTTCAGTAATTGCATTCAAAAGGTGTAACTTGTACATTATATTTATTCATTGCACACAGACTGATGCATTCAAATGTTTATTTCATTTAATTTTGATGATTTGAAGTGGCAACAAATGAAAATCCTAAATTCCGTGTGTCACAAAATTAGAATATTGTGTAAGGGTTACATTTTGAAGACACCTGGTGCCACAAAATAATCAGCTGATTAACTCAAAACACCTGCAAAGGGCTTTAAATGGTCTCTCAGTCCAGTTCTGAAGCCTACACAAACATGGGGAAGACTTCAGATTTGACAGCTGTCCAAAAGGCGACCATCGACACATTGCACAAGGAGGGAAAGACACAAAAGGTTATTGCAGAAGAGGCTGGCTGTTCTCAGAGCTCTGTGTCCAAACACATTAATAGAGAGGCAAAGGGAAGGAAAAACTGTGGTCAGAAAAAGTGTACAAGCGATAGGGATCACCGCGCCCTAGTCAAGATTGTGAAAAAAAAACCATTCAAAAATGTGGGGGAGATTCACAAGGAGTGGACAGCTGCTGGAGTCAGGGCTTCAAGATCCACCACCAAGAGACGCTTGAAAGACATGGGTTTCAACTGCCGCATACCTCGTGTCAAGCCACTGTTGACCAAGAAACAGCGCGAAAAGCGTCTCACCTGGGCTAAGGAAAAAAAGAGCTGGACTGCTGCTGAGTGGTCTAAAGTCATGTTTTCTGACGAAAGCAAATTTTGCATTTCCTTTGGAAATCGAGGTCCCAGAGTCTGGAGGAAGACAGGAGAGGCACAGGATCCACGTTGCCTGAAGTCTAGTGTAAAGTTTCCACCATCAGTGATGGTTTGGGGTGCCATGTCATCTGCTGGTGTCGGTCCACTCTGTTTCCTGAGATCAAGGGTCAACGCAGCCGTCTACCAGCAAGTTTTAGAGCACTTCATGCTTCCTGCTGCTGACCTGCTCTATGGAGATGGAGATTTCAGGTTCCAACAGGACTTGGCGCCTGCACACAGCGCAAAATCTACCCGTGCCTGGTTTACGGACCATGGTATTTCTGTTCTAAATTGGCCAGCCAACTCCCCTGACCTTAGCCCCATAGAAAATCTGTGGGGTATTGTGAAAAGGAAGATGCAGAATGCCAGACCCAACAACGCAGAAGAGTTGAAGGCCACTATCAGAGCAACCTGGGCTCTCATAAACACCTGAGCAGTGCCAGAAACTCATCGACTCCATGCCACGCCGCATTAATGCAGTAATTGAGGCAAAAGGAGCTCCAACCAAGTATTGAGTATTGTACATGCTCATATTTTTCATTTTCATACTTTTCAGTTGGCCAACATTTCTAAAAAATCCCTTTTTTGTATTAGCCTTAAGTAATATTCTAATTTTGTGGCACACGGAATTTTGGATTTTCATTTGTTGCCACTTCAAATCATCAAAATTAAATGAAATAAACATTTGAATGCATCAGTCTGTGTGCAATGAATAAATATAATGTACAAGTTACACCTTTTGAATGCAATTACTGAAATAAATCAAGTTTTTCAAAATATTCTAATTTACTGACTTTTACCTGTACATCCTCATCCAAATAATAGTAATCAATATATTACTGTTTTATTTCATTCTGTGGTGAACATTGTCTTTCAGGTGTCCCCCTCTCCTCTTTCTGAGTGCTCCCCACGGAGCCTCTTTCAGATGGGCCCGTTCCACAGCAGCCCCCTCCAGACCCCCACTCTGCCCTCACTCCAGTCCAGCCCCTCCAGTGCCAACGCCTCCCCCATATCTCGCCCACCCTCCTACATCAACGGCCACCATAGGCCACCGCCTGCACCACTCAAAAGCCCCTTGCAGAGTAAGAACCACTCCTCAAAGGCTGACTATTTATTACTTGGCTTTCGAAATGTTATCGCATTGAACATAATTCATTGCCTGGTCCCAAATCTGTTTTGTGCTGTATAATAGTCTGTGGCATGACAGCAAAACCAGATCTGTTGGCAAGACTGCAAAACCAGATCTGGGACCAGGCTACGTTATTTATCATATTAAATGCATACAAAATAGTTCATGTATAAAAGTAGTAATAAACAACAGCATGGATTTTAAAAATCCTAATTCTGAGAGACATATCTGGGTTGTGTTCGTTAGAGCACAATGTCACGATCCTGTAGTGCTTTCTTGTGGTTTCTAAGCCAAGACGTGGTGCTGATGATTCTGTCTGCCTTCCTCACCCTCAGGTCCTTCCCAGAGCTCCACCCAGCCCCCCAGGTACCCAGCAGATTGTGGTGCGGGGGGCACCATTCGACCTGTAAGTCACCACATAAACATACACATGCTTCTGTAAGCTAATGAAAAGCATCATAAATACTGTATGGATACTGACCCTTGTCCTGTTTGATAAGACACACTTGTTGTATTTTGTCGAGGCTCCACTTGGAGCTCAAAGAAATAACTAGTTCTATGTTGTGGACAGGTCCGTGCTGCTCCGCCGCCCCCCAAGCCGCAGCAGCCTCGCGGCCAGGTGAAGAGAAGGGAGGAGGTGGAGATCACGCTGGTGTAACGGCGCTGCCTTGGTGGCGGTGGCTGCTTCCCACAACCATACCAGATCAGAACGGACCTGGTGGATCCAGGTTCCCCGACCGACTGACCCCCCTCTTCCAGGGAGGGACAACGGGCTCCAGAGCCCCTGAACCAGCCTCCCCAGCCAGGGAATATCCCCACTCCCCACTGGAGAGGCTCCATGAGGGGGCCTGAGATTTGGCTCATCTCTGTCCACACAGTCCAAAGCCAGTAGGGCTGAAACGGTGTGTGGTGGGGAGAACCCAAACAATTGTGCCTTTCTGACACAGTTTCCAACCCCACATCCCTCTTTCTATCCTCTCGTTCTCTTTATTATTTTTCTCTGTTACCCATCTTTTCCTTGGTCTATCTCTCATTTTCTCCCTCCTTTATTTGTGCTGTATCTCTCACTATGTATTCTCTCTCTCTTTCTACCTCCCTCTCTTTCTCTTTTTCTCTCTGTCTAGCTCACTCACCTTCATAACTGGGCATTGAGCTATGGGGGGTATTTTTCAAGCAAGATATCACCATTTGATTACTATGCATCAAAGTTATGCCAATTTCGTGGGAGGATTGTACATCTGTCACAAAGTTTTAAAAAGTCCAAGCCAGATCTGTTTGGTTCTTGGTGGGTTGTGTTATTGTTGTCTAAACACATTTCAGGGAAATTCACAACATGGCAGAGGCTGGTACCTTTCCTGTACCTGTAATAGCAACATCTTAAAAAAAGAAGTGTTTCTTAACATTTCATAAACAAGGGAAAAGTGGCAATTTTGGAGGGGTGTAAATGTTATAGATAGAAATCGCCCCATTGGGGGCAAAATCTGGGTCACACTGTGAAACCAGAACAAAACTGCCCCTGAAACTTTTGAATATTCCTACTCTATAACAAATGTCAAATTTCTTTGTACAATTTCTTTGTATTAAAAGGTGGGCCATTTCAAAACAGCCAGGAGCAATCTGTAGTGTATGAGTAAATCTAGACTATCTTTGTGCTGTTTTCTGTTGTAAAAATAAGGATCTAGCTATGTTATCAATACTAATCTAGGCTTAAACTAGCCAATAATAATGGTCGCTGGTGAGAATAGTTCTTCTTCAGTCAGGAATGCAGATGGGTCGCAGTTCAAGACGGAATGCATCTCAAGGTGATTCGCTGTCGTGGGGAGCGTCATGGGTACTGTGACGTGTCCCTGGGTCGGACTTGCCTTCAAGTACCCGGAGGAGAATCACCTTAGTTCCTAGCTACCTACAGGAAATGTGAACTGTCTAAAATACTGAAGCACTTTTTTGTTATTCTCTTGTTAATGCCCTTTTCAGTATTGCTGGTTGGTCTCTCTCGTGAATGCTGCATTGTTTGCCTCCTTTAATAGTTTTTGCTCCTACTATATTGGTATGAGTATTGTTCTCCTTGTTTTTTTAAAAGGCATTTGATTTATTTAGTCTTAAAAAATAGCCATTGTAGTGTCTCTTTGCGTTGGAGGTATGCTCTTTCATATAATTTATGTAATTTTAATAGTTTACAGAGCGCTTGGAGATGGATATCTGTGCAGCAATTTTCTGAGGATAAAAACACATGGAAACGTATTGATAAATGTTAGTTGTTGATCAGAGGGAAATGGGTATCTGTCAGCCACTTTACTGTGTTTTCGTTGATCTTAAGATCTGAATGTCATCCAACTTATTTTTGAAGTTTACATTTACCCTGTTCTATTGAAAGATTACATGCTGTTGTGAAATACACTTTCCCACAACTTTAAAGTTTGTTTAGTTAATTCTGTTTCTGATTTATTTTCAGCATCTTCAGATATGGTAGAAACAAATGACCCACTACGAGCTGATTCAAATAATCAAAGCTTGATGATGAGTCCATTATTTGAATCAGCTGTGTTGTGCTATGGCTAAAAACAAAACGTGCAGGCACCTCTTGGGGTCCTTGGGACCAAGTTTGGAAAACGCTGCACTACTCTATGATGTAGCCTCTACTACAGCAACAGTAGAGAAACAAAAGTATTTCATTGGATATAAAAAAAACTTGTAAGATTAAATATGAAATAAAATTCGCTGAAATCCATTATTTGTTCTGTTTTATTAAAAATTTCACAAAGGATTTCAGCTAGGGCAGTAGGCCTACATGAAGCATATATATGACTGTTTTTATCATTTTACATTTTAGTCATTTAGCAGACGCTCTTATCCAGAGCGACTTACAGTTAGTGAGTGCATACATTTTTCATACTGGCCCCCCGTGGGAATCGAACCCACAACCCTGGCGTTGCAAGCGCGATGCTCTACCAACTGAACTACAGGATCGTATCCTGGCTTTATTTGATCAAAGACAAAGCACTGACAAACTAAAAAGTACACTACCAGACGGAAATAAACTGAATGGTAAATGTCAGACCTGTATTGAGATTTTGTATATACACTGCTCAAAAAAATTAAGGGAACACTTAAACAACACATCCTAGATCTGAATGAATGAAATAATCTTATTAAATACTTTTTTCTTTACATAGTTGAATGTGCTGACAACAAAATCACAAAAAAATTATCAATGGAAATCAAATGTATCAACCCATGGAGGTCTGGATTTGGAGTCACCCTCAAAATTAAAGTGGAAAACCACACTACAGGCTGATCCAACTTTGATGTAATGTCCTTAAAACAAGTCAAAATGAGGCTCCGTAGTGTGTGTGTGGCCTCCACGTGCCTGTATGACCTCCCTACAACGCCTGGGCATGCTCCTGATGAGGTGGCGGATGGTCTCCTGAGGGATCTCCTCCCAGACCTGGACTAAAGCATCCGCCAACTCCTGGACAGTCTGTGGTGCAACGTGGCGTTGGTGGATGGAGTGAGACATGATGTCCCAGATGTGCTCAATTGGATTCAGGTCTGGGGAACGGGCGGGCCAGTCCATAGCATCAATGCCTTCCTCTTGCAGGAACTGCTGACACACTCCAGCCACATGAGGTCTAGCATTGTCTTGCATTAGGAGGAACCCAGGGCCAACCGCACCAGCATAAGGGGTCTGAGGATCTCATCTCGGTACCTAATGGCAGTCAGGCTACCTCTGGCGAGCACATGGAAGGCTGTGCGGCCCCCCAAAGAAATGCCACCCCACACCATGACTGACCCACCGCCAAACCGGTCATGTTGGAGGATGTTGCAGGCAGCAGAACGTTCTCCACGGCGTCTCCAGACTGTCACATGTGCTCAGTGTGAACCTGCTTTCATCTGTGAAGAGCACAGGGCGCCAGTGGCGAATTTGCCAATCTTGGTGTTCTCTGGCAAATGCCAAACGTCCTGCACGGTGTTGGGCTGTAAGCACAACCCCCACCTGTGGACGTCGGGCCCTCATACCACCCTCATGGAGTCTGTTTCTGACCGTTTGAGCAGACACATGCACATTTGTGGCCTGCTGGAGGTCATTTTGCAGGGCTCTGGCAGTGCTCCTCCTGCTCCTCCTTGCACAAAGGCGGAGGTAGCGGTCCTGCTGCTGGGTTGTTGCCCTCCTACGGCCTCCTCCACGTCTCCTGATGTACTGGCCTGTCTCCTGGTAGCGCCTCCATGCTCTGGACACTACGCTGACAGACACAGCAAACCTTCTTGCCACAGCTCGCATTGATGCGCCTTCCTGGATGAGCTGCACTACCTGAGCCACTTGTGTGGGTTGTAGACTCCGTCTCATGCTACCACTAGAGTGAAAGCACCGCCAGCATTCGAAAGTGACCAAAATATCAGCCAGGAAGCATAGGAACTGAGAAGTGGTCTGTGGTCACCACTTGCAGAACCATTCCTTTATTGGGGGTGTCTTGCTAATTGCCTATAATTTCCACCTGTTGTCTATTCCATTTGCACAACAGCATGTGAAATTTATTGTCAATCAGTGTTGCTTCCTAAGTGGACAGTTTGATTTCACAGAAGTGTGATTGATTTGGAGTTACATTGTGTTGTTTAAGTGTTCCCTTTATTTTTTTTGAGCAGTGTGTTTATATTCTACCTAATGGCTAGCCTACATGGGGAATGCGCGCGCATGCGTTGATATAAAAACGTTTGCATATTACTATTTCCCGGAAACCAAAGATCGGTCTTTCCGGTCTACGACACATCCAAAGATGGCCGTGCAAATTTCTAAGAAGAGGAAGGTTTGTGCCGATTTATCTTTAGTTTTAGAGTTTTTAATTCACTTAAACAGAAACCATCCTTATAGTTAAGTTAATTTCTGCGGCCCATGTCATTTGAGTAGAATTAAGATATGCTGTAGCTTTTTTGGAAGCCACAGCCGGTGAACTAGTTCGTTAGCATGCTAGCCAGCACGCGCACATGATCCCATACTGTACTGAACAAGTGCCGAAATATATTCCTCTTAACTAGTGTAGCGAACTAGCGAAAGACTGAACTACTTTGCTAACCCACCGTTACCTTTTATATCCCGCAGCCTCGATGTCACGCAATCACCAACTTGAAGGGTATTATCCTGGCCATGCATGTTTCTTATACAATATTTTCAGTTTTACATAAAACATCAAAATGCCACCGCGAGGCTGAAGAATAGGTGCGTTCGAAAACTATTAGCAAACTAGTTAATGTAAATGTTACACGGGATATATGGGGTTTTCTCATTTGGACTAGGAGAGTTAATTGTTTCCCTAATGATTGAAGTGTACATGTAACATGCCAGTCTTTACTTTAGTTAAACATTGTTGTAACAAGTAGCTAGGTTGCCGTCTGTCAAACGACATCCCTGTTAAGATGGCTCACTAAGTTCCCTGCTGATGACCACGCTCTCCGCCTGTCCTCATATTTTTACACTTTGTCTCATATTTTTAGTTTGTCGCCGATGGCATCTTCAAAGCCGAACTGAACGAGTTTCTCACAAGAGAGTTGGCTGAGGATGGCTACTCCGGTGTGGAGGTTCGTGTCACCCCAACTAGAACTGAAATCATTATCCTGGCTACCAGGTGAGATCAAAACCACAGAGGACTAGTGATGGCCATCTACTCAATACTGACCACTTGATTTATTGTATCATGAGATTGTTGAAAGCATGTTCCACTCCAAAATCAAAGTTTGTTGGATATTTTGACCTCAAAAGTTGTCTGTCAAGATTAATCCACGTTATTGGTTGTGCAATATGCCTCAACTCAAAATGAATAGAAATGCTTAACACAGCAAATCAGGAAATTACATGATGCAAATCTGTTCCCTTCATTTTGGATTGTGGCACATAGCTGTATCCAGTGACAAAACATGTTTTTTTTTTACGAGGGATCGCTGTTCGTGGTGAATGAAATAACGTTCCCTATATTTTCAAATCATTTTCTGCAACAGCTGGGTACGCTAATAGGAAACGTTCTCTTTCTCCAGGACACAGAACGTGCTTGGTGAGAAGGGGCGTCGTATACGTGAGCTGACTGCAGTGGTCCAGAAGAGGTTTGGCTTCCCAGAGGGCAGTGTTGAGGTAAATTATATTTCAGATCATATCAGATGGAGGAAAGGTCCGACTGCAGGATAACTTACAGTGCATCTTGCACAGTGCTGTTCTTTCCCCCCCCTGCACACAGGAACCTGTTTGAGGGGTGGTGAGTGACTATAAAGTTGATATTTGCTTGTTCCTTGTCAAATACTACCAGTAATTCTACCATTGTTGTCTCATTGTCCCCAAAACGGTGTTCTGTACTGAGGTTTGCACCATACTGTCTGAGTGTGTTTTATGTAACTTGCCATGTCTGTTTCCGCTGCCATCAGCTGTATGCTGAGAAGGTTGCCACACGTGGTCTGTGCGCCATCGCCCAGGCAGAGTCTCTGCGCTACAAGCTTCTCGGGGGTCTGGCTGTCCGCAGGTTAGGATCTTTGACTTAAAAAAAAAAATGCTGCCTAGGGATAGTACTTGATTCAAGGTTCGTATTCATGATTGTGTTTGATTGCTAATATCGAGTACACGTACTCTGAATTTAGAAATGCAACTATTTAGCAGGTTAAATTTATATGCACTGACATTTCAAACTTTAAGATGTTTGTGGAGTATGTCAAGTGCAGTGAAAATGGTAAGCTTAGTTTTCAGTTGTGTATTAGAACAACCATTAATTGGAACTGACAGCGTACTGTAAACTTTATGCCTTTAGCCCCAGTTCACCTTTATAACACTTAACGAATAGTTATCATGAATACGCAAATGAAAAGGTAGTGTAGTGTTAAACCTCTTGTGAATACAGTTATTCCTTAGTTGCAACTGGAAGATCCTGTTGTTGTGAAAGTCAATATTTTACACTTCTAACTGGTGGGATGAATAGTGTTTAGGAGATCAAGACTATAAGTATCTCTTGAATGTCACTGTAATATTGGAAAATTTGATATTTTTCATGGCACTGTCTGGGGAAGTTGAAGACAGCACTTGTAAGATTATATGTTGTTTCTAATGCTGCTCGTTTTTGTGTTGCAGAGCCTGCTATGGTGTCCTACGGTTCATCATGGAGAGCGGGTCCAAGGGTTGCGAGGTAGTGGTCTCTGGAAAGCTCAGGGGCCAGAGGGCCAAATCCATGAAGTTCGTGGATGGCCTCATGATCCACAGTGGAGACCCCGTTAACTACTACGTCGACACCGCTGTCCGCCACGTGCTGCTCCGTCAAGGTGAGTTCACCCAGGGGTTTCATGCTTGATTCACACTATACAGTGCCTTCAGAAAGTATTCATACCCCTTGATGTATTCCACATTTTGTTACAGCCTGATTACAAAATGTATTAAATATTTTTTAAAGTAACTTATCTACACACAGTACCTGATAATGGGAAAAAGTGAAAACATGTTTTTAGACACATTTGCAAATTTATCTCATTTGCATAAGTATTCACACCCCTGAGTCAATACTTTGTAGAAGCACCTTTGGCAGCGATTACAGCTGTCTTTCTGTCTCTAAGAGCGTTGCACCCATGGATTGTGCAACATTTAACCATTATTCTTTTCAAAATTGTTCAAGCGTTGTCAAATTGGGTTTTGATCATTGCTCGACAACCATTTTCAGATTGCCATAGATTTTAAAGTAGATTTGGGTCAAACTGTGACTTGGCCACTCAGGAACATTCACTGTCTTCTTGGTAAGCAACTCCAGTGTAGAAATGGCCTTGTGTTTTAGGTTATTGTCCTGCTGAAACTTGAATTTTAGGGTATTGTCCTGCTGAAACGTGAATTAACCTGGAAAAACTGCCCAGTCCATAAAGATTTCCAACATACACATAACATGATGCAGCCACTACTATGCTTGAAAATATGGAGCGTGGTACTCATTAATGTGTTGTATTGGATTTGCCCCAAAAATAACACTTTGGCCTCCTGAGTGGCGCAGCGGTCTAAGGCACTGCATCGCAGTGCTTGAGGCGTCACTACAGACCCGGGTTCGGTCCCAGGCAGTGTCACAACCGGCTGTGACCGGGAGACCCATGAGGCGGCGCACAATTCACCCAGCGTCGTCTGGGTTAGGGGAGGGTTTGGCCGCCTGCAAGCTGACTTCGGTCGCCAACTGGACAGTGTTTCTTCTGACAAATTGGTGCGGCTGGCTTCCGGGTTAAGCGAGCTGTGTGTCAAGAAGCAGTGCGGCTTGGCAGGGTCGTGTTTCGGAGGACGCATGGCTCTCGAGCTTTGCCTCTCCCGAGTCCGTAGGGGAGTTGCAGCAGTGGGACAAGACTGTAACTACCAATTTGATATCACGAAATTGGGGGAGGAAAAAGGGGTAAAAATAACAATTACACAAAAACAAAATTATAACCAACAAAAATAAATATTTAAATAACACTTTGCGGTGTTACTTTATTTAGTCTTGTTGCAAACAGGATGCATGTTTTTGAATATTTTCTGTACAGGCTTCCTTCTTTTGACTGTCAATTAGGTTAGTATTGTGAAATAACTACAATGTTGTTGATCCATCCTCAGTTTTCTATCATAGCCATTCAACTCTGTAACTGTTTTAAAGTCACCATTGGCTTCATGGTGAAATCCTTGAGCGGTTTCCTTTGTCTCAGGCAGCTGAGTTAGGACATATGCCTGCATCTTTGACTGGGTGTATTGATACACCATCCAAAGTGCTTAAAAAAAAAAAAATCCATCTACCAAGGCATTGGAAAACCTCCCTGGTCTTTGTGGTAGAATTTCTGTTTTAAATTCACTGCTCGACTGGGGGACATTACGGATAATTGTATGTGTGGTGTACAGAGATGAGTCACTGAAATCATGTTAAACACTATTATTGCACAGTCCATTCAACCTTTTTAAAGCATTTTTTTAAAGGCTTGCCATAACAAAGGGGTAGAATACTTATTGACTCAACACATTTCAGCTTTTCAGTTTTAATTAATTTGTAAACGTTTCTGAACATAATTCCACTTTTACATTATGGGGTATTGTGTGTAGGCCAGTGACACAATCTCAATTTAATCAATTTTGAATTCAGGCTGTAACACAACAAAATGTGGAAAAATGAAGGGGTGTGAATACTTTCTGAAGGCACTGTCTTCACTGGCCTCTTTACGCATCCAACATGGTTGCTAGAACTGTGCTGAAATGGACAATGAGGCTATATCCCAATGATCTCTTATTCATCCAAAAGTGTGCACTTGTTCACGTCCTTTCACTGATTTGAAAGGAAATGGTTGGTATAAGAAATATGGTTGAAACTAGCCCATGCCTCCACCAATCCAATGTTTTTAGATTTGTGGGAGGTAGTGAACGAGTGTACACTTAAGGACAAAGGCGATATTACAGGAAGGCACAAAGTGAGAATAAATTATCCAAGCTAGCTCTGTATGGTTGGGGTCTGCCCTATGGTGTGAATCAAGCATTAGTGATGGGCCAGACCATGACCAAGAGGACGTGTTATGCAACAGTACCAAAATAATTAAAGTGATGAAATGGTGACTAATATTTGGGGTGCAATCTGTTCTGCCTATCCAAAGGTGTGCTGGGGATTAAGGTGAAGATCATGCTGCCCTGGGATCCCAGCGGTAAGATTGGCCCCAAGAAGCCTCTCCCCTGACCACGTGAGCATCGTGGAGCCCAAGGACGAGCAGGTCCCCTCTACGCCCATTTCTGAGCAGAAGGGAGCCAAGCCGGAGGCCGCTGCCGTCGCACCTGCCACACCCGTCCCAACAGCATAACCATGAAGGACCCCCAAGCCAGCGTCTCACATTTTCAATGTAAGACGGGTTTAGTTAAGTGTTAGAAAGGCAGGATAAGTTACAGCGCTGCTTTGACTATCACCCTGCACACAGAAACCCTGTTTCCTACTATCCCTGTCTGCATCCCACTACTGGCAGGGATGCTTGGCCTGAGACACTTTGCCCGTTGACACACTAAATATATACATTTTGTTAAAATCGAAATCTGCGATTGGTACATCAAATGTTTTATCATGTATACCCATTAGGGTCCCCCCCCCTCGACCCGCTGCTACGCTCCTGAAGTTGTTGGTTAAAGGCTACACCAGGGGTCGGCAACCTTTTCCAGTTGGAGTGCCAATTTATCTTACCATTTCTACCGATCTGCGTGGCAGTTATTATTTTTAGACACATATTTTTGTAGAACATTTTCATTTAATTTATAAGTCTTTGGATCTCAGTCATTGTCATGTAGTTACTCTAAATTCTATCTAAATTATACACATTTTAAAGTAACTTCTATTGACATGAATAAAAAATAGCCTACATAAAGCCAACAAATAAAACCATTGCAGCCTGCAGGTAGAAAAAAATCCTGATTTTTATAATTCTTTTTAAAAAATCCTAGAAATCACATTGGCTACACAAGGCTGTCTGCAACGAACTTGAAACATTGTATCAACTATGTCTGGCCTGAAGCTGGTGCTAGCAAACTTGCAACATTGTGACAAATAAAATTTGATGAAAAATAGACAAGTAAAAAATAATTACAGAGAAGCAGTAAAATAACAGGTAGTGAGGCTATATACAGGGTGTACCGGTACAGAGTCAATGTGCGGGGGCACAGGTTAGTCGAGGTAATATGTACATGTACAGTGGGGGGAAAAAGTATTTAGCCACTTAAAAAGATGAGAGGCCTGTAATTTTCATCATAGGTACACGTCAACTATGACAGACAAAATGAGAAAAAGACTTTCCAGAAAATCACATTGTAGGATTTTTTATGAATTTATTTGCAAATTATGGTGGAAAATAAGTATTTGGTCAATAACAAAAGTTTCTCAATACTTTGTTATATACCCTTTGTTGGCAATGACACAGGTCAAACGTTTTCTGTAAGTCTTCACAAGGTTTTCACACACTTGCTGGTATTTTGGCCCATTCCTCCATGCAGATCTCCTCTAGAGCAGTGATGTTTTGGGGCTGTCGCTGGGCAACACGGACTTTCAACTCCCTCCAAAGATGTTCTATGGGGTTGAGATCTGGAGACTGGCTAGGCCACTCCAGGACCTTGAAATGCTTCTTACGAAGCCACTCCTTCGTTGCCCGGGCGGTGTGTTTGGGATCATTGTCATGCTGAAAGACCCAGCCACGTTTCATCTTCAATGCCCTTGCTGATGGAAGGAGGTTTTCACTCAATCTCACGATACATGGCCCCATTCATTCTTTCCTTTACACGGATCAGTCGTCCTGGTCCCTTTGCAGAAAAACAGCCCCAAAGCATGATGTTTCCACCCCCATGCTTCACAGTAGGTATGGTGTTCTTTGGCTGCAACTCAGCATTCTTTGTCCTCCAAACACGACGAGTTTAGTTTTTACCAAAGTGCTATTTTGGTTTCATCTGACCATATGACATTCTCCCAATCCTCTTCTGGATCATCCAAATGCACTCTAGCAAACTTCAGATGGGCCTGGACATGTACTGGCTTAAGCAGGGGGACACGTCTGGCAATGCAGGATTTGAGTCCCTGGCGGCGTAGTGTGTTACTGATGGTAGGCTTTGTTACTTTGGTCCCAGCTCTCTGCAGGTCATTCACTAGGTCCCCTCGTGTGGTTCTGGGATTTTTGCTCACCGTTCTTGTGATCATTTTGACCCCACGGGGTGAGATCTTGCGTGGAGCCCCAGATCGAGGGAGATTATCAGTGGTCTTGTATGTCTTCCATTTCCTAAAAATTGCTCCCACAGTTGATTTCTTCAAACCAAGCTGCTTACCTATTGCAGATTCAGTCTTCCCAGCCTGGTGCAGGTCTACAATTTTGTTTCTGGTGTCCTTTGATAGCTCTTTGGTCTTGGCCATAGTGGAGTTTGGAGTGTGACTGTTTGAGGTTGTGGACAGGTGTCTTTTATACTGATAACAAGTTCAAACAGGTGCCATTAATACAGGTAACGAGTGGAGGACAGAGGAGCCTCTTAAAGAAGTTACAGGTCTGTGAGAGCCAGAAATCTTGCTTGTTTGTAGGTGACCAAATACTTATTTTCCACCATAATTTGCAAATAAATTCATTAAAAATCCTGCAATGTGATTTTCTGGATTCTTTTTTCTCTCAATTTGTCTGTCATAGTTGACGTGTACCTATGATGAAAATTACAGGCCTCTCATATTTTTAAGTGGGAGAACTTGCACAATTGGTGGCTGACTAAATACTTATTGACTATGCATAGATAATAGAGTAGCAGCAGCGTAAAAGAGGGGGTGGGGGGGGGGACAATGCAAATAGTCCGGGTAGCCATTTGATTAATTCAGGAGTCTTATGGCTTGGGGGTAGAAGCTGTTAAGAAGCCTTTTGGACCTAGACATGGCGCTCCGGTACCGCTTGCCGTGCGGTAGCAGAGAGAACAGTCTATGACTAGGGATGCTGGAGTCCTTTGCAATTTTTAGGGCCTTCCTCTGACACCGCCTGGTATAGAGGTCCTGGATGACAGGAAGCTTGTCCCCAGTGATGTACTGGGCCGTACGCACTGCCGTCTATAGTTCCTTGAATTCGGAGGCCGAGCAGTTGCCATACCAGGCAGTGATGCAGCGACTGGATGCTCTCGATTTTGCAGCTGTAGAACCTTTTGAGGATCTGAGGACCCATGCCAAATCTTTTCAGTCTCCTTAGGGGGAATAGGCTTTGTCGTGCCCTCTTCATGACTGTCTTGGTGTGTTTGGACCATGATAGTTTGTTGGTGACGTGGACACCAAGGAACTTGAAGCTCTCATCCTGCTCCACTACAGCCACGTCGATAAGAATGTGGGTGTGCTCGGTCCTCTTTCTCCTGTAGTCCACAATCATCTCCTTTTGTCTTGATCACGTTGAGGGAGAGGTTGTTATCCTGGCACCACTTGGCCAGGTCTCTGACCACCTCCCTATAGGCTGTCTCATCGTTGTCGGTGATCAGGCCTACCACTGTTTTGTTGGCAAACATAATGATGGTGTTGGAGTCGTGCCTGGCTATGCAGTCATGGGTGAACAGGGGAGTACAGGAGGGTACTGAGCACGCACCCCTGAGGGGCCCCCGTGTTGAGGATCAGCGTGGCAGATGTTGTTACCTACCCTTACCACCTGGGGGCGGCCCGTCAGGAAGTCCAGGATCCAGTTGCAGAGGGAGGTGTTTAGTCCCAGGGTCCTTAGCTTAGTGATGAACTTTGACGGCACTATGGTGGTGAACGCTGAGCTGTAGTCAATAAAGAGCATTCTCACGTAGGTGTTCCTCTTGTCCAGGTGGGAAAGGGCAGTGTTGCGTGCCATAGAGATTGCATCATCTGTGGATCTGTTGGGGCGGTATAGAAATTGGAGTGGGTCTAGGGTTTCTAGGATAATGATGTTGTGAGCCATCATGACCAGCCTTTCAAAGCACTTCATGGCTACAGACGTGAGTACACGTCCTGGTAATCCGTCTGGCCCTGCTGCCTTGTGAATGTTGACCTGTTTTAAAGGTCTTACTCACATCGGCTACTGAGAGCGCGATCAGACAGTCGTCAGGAACAGCTGATGCTCTCATGCATGCTTCAGTGTTGCTTGCCTCGAAGCCAGCATAGAAGTAATTTAGCTTGTCTGGTAGGCTTGTCACTGGGCAGCTGTGATTCCATTTGTAGTCTTAATAGTTTGCAAGCCCTGCCACATCCGATGAGCGTCGGAGCAAGTGTAGTACGATTCAATCTTAGTCCTGTATTGACGCTTTGCGTGTTTGATGGTTCCTAGCGGGATTTCTTATGAGCGTCCGGGTTAGAGTCCCGCTCCTTGAAAGCGGCAGCTCTACCCTTTAGCTCAGTGCAGATGTTGCCTGTAATACATGGCTTCTGGTTGGGGTATGTACGTATGGTCAATGTGGGGACGACATCATCGATGCGCTTATTGATGAAGCCAGTGACTGATGTGGTGTACTCAATGCCATCGGAAGAATCCCGGAACATATTCCAGTCTGCTAGCAAAACAGTCCTGTAGCTTAGCATCTGCATCATCTGACCACTCCGTTATTGACCGAGTCACTGGTGCTTCCTGCTTTAGTTTTTGCTTGTAAGCAGGAATCAGGAGGATATAGTTATGGTCAGATTTGCCAAATGGAGGGCAAGGGAGAGCTTTGTACGCATCTGTGTGGAGTAAAGGTTAATGTCCCGTTGATAGGATATCCTTGATCGTAGTTCGTCTATTTTGTTATCCAATGATTGTACGTTGGCTAATGGGACTAATGGTAGAGGCAGGTTACCCAGTCGCCGTCGGATCCTTACAAGGCAACCTGAGCTACGTCCCCGATATCTATTTCTCATGCGAATTATGGGGATTTGGGCCTTGTCTGTACTCAGTTTCCTGCGCCAGTGAGCTCGGGACAGATGGCTGTAGGCTATTTGTGCAGGGGATAAGAAGTAATCAGGTATTTTATGACATTTCCAGTGGATCAGAGCATTACTTTTCCCTTTCATGCCAAGTGGTTATCGAAAGGGAGAGAGATGGAAATACTTGTCAAATACATTGAGGAACTATTGTCATTATCAATGGATTCTAAAAAATACTTTGTTGCTGTTTGAGTTGAAAACTTTTTTGGGGAGAAGCTCTACAGCTCATGAGTTAAGACCGCTGCTGAGTTAAGACAATCAAATACTTTCAGACGTCCCCAAATGGGCACATTTATAGGCCTATATTTGAGCACAAGCCAAGTAGCATGGCCCTTATACTATATGCGTAATCTGGTGTCTTGTGTACCATGAAAAACAAATCTATTTGCTACTTCTCCACCA